GAACTGAGGACTCGTTGAATTCCACAATGTCAGGCTTCTTTTGGTTCATAGGATAGGATTATCCTAGGAATAGGAATTTTGTAGGAAATGAGATGTCATGTATCTCAAATCCTATGAGTAGGAATATGAAACGAGATGTCATTTGGTTGACATCAAAGGAATTTTTTCATTGAGTCTAGGCTCATTTTTATTTTCCTATGAAATGTGAAGGATAGAAACAAATCCTATATAGAAATAGGAATCTATTTCTATGAATCAAAGGGCTCTAAAGGAAAAAATCCTATAAAAATTTTATCCTCTAAAATTCCTCCAAACCAAAGGAGACCTGAGGCGGAACTCCTGGAAGCAAATAAGAAAGAAGATACCTCGTTCCTAGTCATGGATTGGCCATCGCTAATTTCTCCCTCTAGAACCTGCTACATGTATGTCTGGTTGCCAGTTCATCGACACCGACATGGATATTTTGGTGCACCAAGAGAAAGATTATTAATTTGAGCATGCGTGGCTTAGAGTTTTTCTCAGTTTTGAACGTGTTGTCTTGACAAGTCATAACTAATCCTCTACTCTCATGTCGACCCCGTTGGGTGGTACTATCTTCGTCCTGGTTTATTAGTCCTCTTTGTACTTTGTGCCAAATTTTGACCAAATAATTAACTAACAAAATGTTAATGTATGTTAACAAAAAATATATTGTTGGATTCGTATTTGAACATAGTTTTCAATGATATAATTTTTGTTGACATGCATGAACATTTTGTTAGTTAAAATTTTGGCACAAAAAATAGGGACCAACAAATCAGGACGGAGGTAGAATGCTCAGAGCCTCAGAGTGTGACTTTTCCATGCGGCGGTTGGTGGACAAAAAAGATTTTTGCGGGAAAAAGAATAATAAAGAAAGTTCAAACTCTATGTCTGCAGTATTTATGGTAGGACGCCGATGGAAAACACAGGGTCCTCAAACTCCAAAATTCAAAATTCAGTAGTGTGGTGAGGGGAAGACATCTCTAGTGTCCTCTAACTCCAAATGGCAGAGATGGTGTGTTCTGACTTCCGTGGTTATCGGAGAGGCTGTAAATAGAACCGCTTCCCTCCTGCTCGGCAAGGAGGAGAGAGAGGCCACGCCCATCAGTGAAGGCGTGGAGCGGTTGGAGCTGGCGCCGCACGTCAAAATAGAGGCCGCACTCGAGGCATCTTGCAAGTGGTCAATCACATAGACGCGTCCTTGGTGCGTTGGCGGAAGATGCTGAACCGGGCTGCCGACGAGTGCGAGTGCGACGAGGAACTGCAAAGATGTCGCCGACGCGCCATGGACACGTAGGAAACGGACGAGGAGGTAATGAACTCCTCCGATCCTTCCTTAGGCGGATCACTCATGCTACCATGTCGTACATATCTTCTCTTGCAAACTACTGCGTTAGAAACGCTGGCGAGACCAGTAGCAACAACACTGCCTTCTCCGTTAGGAGGTTCGAAAGGTTCGCTGACAGTGCAGGTGAGTTCATACGCTTCGTGGAGCTGGGCGGCGGCGCACCCCGGCAGCACATGTTCCACGATCCTCTACTCAGACATCTTCTTGCGGGCAAAGAGCTTAATTACGAGGTGTCCCGAGGGTCTGGACGCCACTTGTTTGTGGTACGTCCTATATGCTTCGATGAGCGTGGGGTAGAAGCGAAGCTATGCTATGATTACCAGGACCAGAAGGCCCCACAGAACAGTTTTGTTCTAGGGGCGATGCTGCGTCTTTCAGACAGTACGGACATAGTTGGAGTCATGCTCACTTGCTTGCATACGGTTATTACACCGCACTTTAGCCCTGTCGCTGAGACCGCCAGGAAAGAACTCACACAGTTGCCGACACAAGACTTCTCCTGCAGGCCCTACGTTGTTTCAAGGGACGTAGAACACTGGAATTACCACAATACATTGACTGAATGGTTCCGCCCGGATCCCCAATGCTGCAAACATCAGCGCAGGCCAACAGAAGGATCTAATTTGTTTCCTGAACCAGTTATTGAACTGTTTTTACAGCGCAACATGTTAGTACGTATGTGGTGAGAAGCGACTGCTGAAAGAAAGACACCTTCTGAAGCTGGATGCTCTCTTCACACCTCATGCCTCTCCAGAAGATGTGCAACTTGCTAAGGGCTCTACTTCAACTACTACTAGAGTGGTGGAGGTGATCAATGGGCAGACCGCACAACACAGGGGTCAGTTGGCAAGAGATGGACCAAATGCTGCTGCCAAAGGCGACAGAGTACCTGTGCAGCAACGATGAGGCGATGACCTACCAGCTGTACTGGGAGTCTAATCACGGCACACTACAAATGTCCGTGGAGAAGATGGGCACACATGTGCCAAGTAAGGCACGCGGGAGAAGGGCCAGCTGCCACGGGGTAGGAGAAGTGCAGTGGTGCAGCACAAGCCTCCGCGCGCGGCTAGTAGGGCGGTGGAAGGAGAGGAAGCAGATCGCCGTGGACCTTCTCAAGTCATGGGCTGCTTTTGCACCTGATAAGATACAAAAGAAAAAAAAAGATACAGGGATCGATCACGACATGGATCTAGAGAGTAGATAATACGTACACAATCTATTTAATTCAGGGGTGGTGTAAGGGGCTGTGCTTCTGTACAAGTATGCATGTCGATGATTTTTATTTTGTCTCTCTCTGTCTGCATATATGTTGGGATCTTTATTCCTCGCTTGTAAGGTTTTGAATTTCGTCTGTAGAAGAATTAAGTACGTACTCCCTCCGTCCAAAAATACTTGTCATCAAAATGGATAAAAGGGGATGTATCTAGAATTCTAGATGTACTCCTTCCGTTTCATTTTACTCCGCATATAAGATTTGGTCAAAATCAAACTACACAAAGTTTGACCAAATTTATATAAAAAAATATGAACATCTACAATATTAAAACTATATAGTATGAAAATTAATTTCGTGGTGCATCTAATAATGTTGATTTCATATTGTCAATGTTTATATTTTTTAATATAAAGTTAGTCAAACTTTACAAAGCTTGACTTTGACCAAACCATATATGCAGACTAAAAAGAAACGGAGGAAGTATTTTAGTTCGAGATACATCTTTTTTTATTCATTTTGATGACAAGTATTTTTGGACGGAGAGAATAATAGATTATCAATACAGGTCATGTCAAATTTGCATTCGTTATAAGAGAGATCAAACGAAGTGTTAGCTTCACAGCCGACACACGGATGAGGTAAGAAATTTCAGAATCTTACTCTGAGCCCTACTGAAGAATGATCTTGACATTACCATTTCTGGGGCGTTGCTAATGCCCATTTTATATACTCCTTCCGTTCGGAATTACTTGTCACAAAAATGGATGTATTTACAACTAAAATACATCTAGATACATTAATTTCTTGGACGAGTAATTCCGAACGGAGGGAGTACTAGCGAGGGGTGTTTCCTATTTGACGCATTCTGTGTCAAATAGTCGCCCAATTGCACATGACGATGTGGATTTGGGCCGGCCCATTTAGCAGCAAATGTTACTCAGGTTTAGGAACATTCTAGAATGTTCCATGTTTCCCCTTTTCTACTGCTTTTATCCTTTAATGTTTAAAAACTTTTCACGCTTTAAAAAAATTCAAGAGTTTCAGAACTATTTGCATTTTCAAAATATGTTCACAATTTTCAAAAACATATTCATAACTAAGAAGATGTTCATAATTTTTTAAAAAATCGTGTTTTCAAAAAGTGTGCAGAAATTTCAGGAAATATAAGGATTAAAGAAACATGTTTTCAAAAATGTTCTCGTTACCAAAACGGTTCATAATTCAAAAAATATTTGCCTTCCGCAAGAAATGGTTTAAAAATTTTATTTTTATGTTTGCTATAATTGTCCGGTGTGCTACAATAACAATTAGCTACTCCCTCTGTCCCAAGTGTCAAAAATGCTCTTATATTATGGGACGGAGGGAGTAGATCGCATCGGTTCACGGTGGTGCCTTGGTTCAATGCAGTCCTCGGTGCATCCTACAGTACCTTGTTCTTCCGTTCGCTACAGTACGTATAATGGGCAGGCCCATCCAGGACGCCACTGTGCAGGAACCCTCATGTTTGACGCAAATAGCGTTAAAAAGGAGGTTCCAGAGAGAGGGCAGATCCTTTTTAGCGCACGGGTCAATGGATACCGACGAAACATGCACCCCCAGCGTACGCATGCTACATGTTGCCCCGTCCATTAAAGAGTTTTTCAATGTCTTTTTCCAGCAAATTTTGGGATGGTTCAAGAACCTGAACCAGTTTTTTTAGCCTTTTCTTCCATTTCCTTTTTTATTTTCATTTTTTAATTCGTGAAACATTTGTATGTGTCTTTTTGTCGTTTTTGTGCTTTCTTTTTTCTCTCATTTTAATTTTTTCCTTTTAAATTTTGGAACAAATATTTTAATTCATGAACATTTTTTGAATCGGCAAACTTTTTAGAATTTGGGATCAATTTTTGAAATTTTATTTTTTTGGAAATGATGAATATATTTTTGAATTTTGTGAACATTTTCTGAAATTTGGGGATCACTTTCTGAAATTGGTGAGCTTTTTTTTGAATGGACAAACATTTTTTGAAAATTGGGAATATATTTTGAAATTGAAAAATATATTTCAACCCCGCATTTTTCCCACTTCAGGATCCGTGTGGAGTGGAAGACATTCAGCAGACTAACTTGCATTGAACAGTGGTTGCATGTTTGCATGCATGACAGGCTTCATGTACATGACATGAGAAAAGGCTAAACGGGCTTCATGTACAAGACATGAGAAAAGGCTAAACAACCAAGAGATGAGCGACAACAATACGTTATAGCTGGTTTAGACAAATCCTCGAAAGAAAACTGGTTTTATATACAAAACATGGTACTAGCTATTAAGCCGGGCAGTAGCCTGTTCTCTAGAAAAAAAAAAGCTTAGAAGCTATTCACTAAATTACAGATGAGTGTTGCGTGGGCCTGCCTTCTGTAACTCAAACTAGCTAGCTAGCAATGCATGGCGCTGAGCAGTGGAGTTAGCACTGATTCGGTGCTGCACGTTGGGATGGTGGTCCGAACTTCCTCCGGCGTGACAACGGCGAGGCAGCAGCGAACAACGAGGCGGTCGTCCTGCGTGGGCGATGTTCCGGTGTACTTCAGATGGTAGTAGAAGTCATCGTTGTCACGGTCAAACGTGTGCCTCGTCTTCTGGGACTCCAAGTTCACCAGCCCCTCGAACTCGAAGCTGAACTCCGCCGTTGTCGGTGTCATCTCGTCCCCCTTGCTTGCGAAGACGAGCCACAGGATGCCCCATCTTGGGCAGAATTTGAGGTACCATGTGCTCCCGCCAACAGCGAAGTGCGTGGAGTAGATGCACTCCCCGTTCCTCAGCGTCGCACTGAGCTCGGAGACGCTGCGCACGGTGAGCGTGTGGGAGCCAACCATGGCGACCTTCGGCGGCTCCAATACGGCGTTGGATTTGCGCAAGCTTCCAAAGAGGCACCGCCGCTTTGTTGCCTGCTGCATCTTCTTCAGAGTGCATCTGACGGTGAATTTGTCGTAGCTGGCAGACACGCACGAGGATGCCTCCAGCTCCCTCCTCCTCACGCACAGGATAAAGCTACCCTTGGTTTGTTTACCTATCGTGTCCCGGCTGCTCTCCTTGTGGAAGACGGTGTGCTCTCCGGTCTCGTCGAGGATTTCAAGGGTGATGTGGGTGCCGGCATACGATTTGAAGCCATGCAGCATGAAGTTGATGACGACCGAGACGATCAATGTGTCCGCTAGGCCGTTCTCGTCGAAATCCATCGACTTCACGTGTATGTCCCACAAGAGGTCACAGAAGAAGAGGTTGTCCACAGTCAGCCGGTCAGGTGATCGCAGCAGCTTGGAGTACCCGCGGACCGGCACGGAGAGCGTCACCGGCGCCGATCGGCTCGTGGTAGAACCCATTGACCACGTACCAAGCTATCAGGCAATCAAGTATACCCGCGCACGCGTATATGTAGGACGGCCGGGGAGGGAGTCTTGATCGTGTCCGGAGCAGAGTCATCTCTGTCTTCCACGATACAAAACCGGCAAGTTGTTGGAAGACGTATATAACCGGAGTCGGATCCGGATCACGTACGTCCTTGTGTGCACCGCGTCATTTTAGCCACGCTGCGTAGATTTTACTATTATGCATGCTTTTATCATGCATGATTGGAACGATTGGGACTACCCAAATTGTATTTTCATCAAGGCATTTGGAGGACACGTAAGTTGGTTGGTCATGCAAAGATGATCCTTCTCTAGCTAGGTCGTCATTAGCAAGCGTGCCAGCTCCGTTTAAATCGTCACAGCTCCCTGCATCCTCACCACCTCAGTGTAAACTTTTCTGTCGTGCAATTGGTACCAAAAATCCCTAGCAAAGCTGAAAGAACTTGGCCTTGGAGCAGATCCAGTCCGTCGGACAAGCTGGGTGCCTGAAAACTTCTCGCCTTGAACAGACCCCCACCATAGCTAGACTTGATCAGTGCGGTGGTTTGTAGCTAGAACCCTAACCGGAGGAGGCAAGGGGAAGGAACTACCCAGAGTGGACCATAGTAGTCCCCAATGGCCTCACCCTCCTCGCGCACCAGGTCCCATGCCTCAGCCTCAGAGCATTAGAGCCGCACCTAGCTAATCCGTCCACTCTCCCTCTTAGGGAGGTTGTCGTGGAGCTTAGGTGTGCTAGGCCGTAGCGTGGTGTGTGTTTAGTTTTCTTGGTGCTCTTTGCCGGTAGCGTAGCCGTGTGCGTTCTGCGTGTGCCGGTTATTTCAGGACCGGCTTTGTAAGATAGCCACCTAACTATTTTGTGTCCTTCGGCCGTGTACTTTTTCGTGGAGGATGAGCATGATGACATCATCTTATTAGAGGTTTCAATTTTAGGGTGAAAATGTTATGTGTGAGCACCAAGAACCGGCAATTTTTGCACAGTTCACCAAATTTCAACGTGGAATGCATGATTGGCAAACTCACATTCAACTCCAAAATGACTTGACTGAGCACATGTGGACTCACCTTGGCAACCAATAGACGTATCGGTTCATTTTCTTTCAATTTATTTGTGACAATTTACATTTGCCTGTAAACTTTGAGACTTTTATTGGGTTGTAAACTATTTATTATTGTGGTACTATGTGATTTATTTGGTTTTAAACTATATGCAATGTTTCTTTTTAGTTAGACATATGTATAAAAAGGTTGCGTACATTTGGGCGTCAGTTGGTCAGGCGCACCAAATGCGTCGGCCAGCTGGGTGCATGGTACACGCAAATACAGAAGCGGTCGGACGACACCCTTTGACCCTCTCAAATGAACAAAATCTAGACCAAGCGGACGTTTATTTGAGGTCGTGCATTGAAGTTGGCCTGTTGTTCTCTGCTGGCTTGCAAGGACGTGGAAGAGGCTGAAGCCCTTGCGTTACTTGAGTAGCATGCATGTTGTATGAGAGCTCTACAGGAGACCATTGATTGTTGAATCTGACTGGCCTATGGTTGTCGCTGCAATCAACTCCCCTGAATCTAGTCCAGCCAGGTGGTGTTTTGTGTACGAGGAGATTAAAAGGGTCATGTCTGTTTTTGTTTCCTGGTGCATCAGGAAGATTGGTAGAGGGAGCATCGATATTGCACATGAGTTAGCTGCTCATGCCAGGACTCACGAGGATTTTAGTCTGCTTGCTAGCGTTCCATCTGAGTTAGAATGTCCTGATGAATAATAATAACCCGGTGATTTCTACCCGCAAAAAAAACCCCGTGATTTCTGATATATAAAATCTCCTTTTACCCCTTCAATATTTTTTTATCAAAGCCAATTGTTTTTGCACACAGCTGAGTAATAGGCGGTCCTAACGGAGAATTGTAGGTAAATGCCAAACTATTCGTGATTTTATTTGGACGTCCTATACTGGATCACGAAGAGTTCCTGTCAGACTAACTTGAGGCTGAGCAACCCCCTTCGATGGTCACTTTGATTTCCTTTTGTCGCCAACCAATGTACGGCTAAAAGGATAAGCCCTCTGTAATTCTTTTTCTACCCTATCAATAAAATGCCTGAGCCCATTCCTGAAAAAAAATTAAGGCAAAAGTAAAATACAGATCTAGCTACCCTATCAAGTTTTTTTTCATTATTCTTGTTCAAAACATTTATTTTTAGTAATATCGGATGCTGTCAATGCTTTAACATAACACTTTTAGATTCCTAGTTTATTAATTTGTTGATTAAGAAACTATTAAGGAAAGATTCACAAAATCCTTGCTCTATGATTAAAAACAATATGATATATATATACATTTATGTATGATACATTGTGAATAACTTTGATAATATATAATGCAGTTGTAAATGCACAATCTTATTTCACTGCAATTTAATAAAGAATTGTTGTCATCTACGTATCGTTCTATATCGCTGGACATATCGGGCTAGATATCGGCCATATCGGTCGATATTTCGGTCCATATCGGATGATATGTTGGAAAATGATATGTTATGCTTATATCGGTGGAGCCCCAAAACTGATATATCGGCCTATATATCGGCCGTATCGGCCTATATTTAAAAGCTTGATCTCGGGTAGGGGGTCCCGAACTGTGCGTCTAAGGCAGATGGTAACAGAAGGCAGGGGACACGATGTTTACCCAGGTTCGGGCCCTCTTGATAGAGGTAAAACCCTACGTCCTGCTTGATTGTTCTTGATGATATGAGTATTACAAGAGTAGATCTACCACGAGATCGGAGAGGCTAAACCTTAGAAGCTAGCCTATGGTATGATTGCATGTGTCTCTATCGACTAGCCTGGCCTCGGTTTATATAATGCACCAGAGGCCTAGGATAACAAGAGTCCTAGCCGAATACGCCGGTGGGGAGAAGTCCTTGTCTTGATCGCCAAGTCTTGTGGAATCTTCCTTGTATGCGGCAGCTGTCCGAACTGGCCCATGAGTATACTGCCATGGAGGTCCTCGGCCCAATCTAACAGATCGGGAGATGACGTGGTGAGTACCCCTAGTCCAGGACACCCTCAGTAGCCCCCTGAACCGGTCTTCAAGTTAGGAACGCTCCTCGATTCTTCTGAACTGTTCTTCATCTTCGGTCATCGGTCTTGAAAACTGGTTCAACAAATCTTCTTCGATCTTGAGGATCAACAACGTGCATCCGAAGAGTTTATACGTAGGGTATCCGGGAGCCCCTTTAAGTTTTCGGCCTTTATCAATGCCTTGTTTATTTTTATGCCACGCATCGGGTTTGAAGTTGTTCCCGGGCGGCAACGCCCTCTTACGTCCGAGCTCCAACGCCGGACTGCATTCGAGGTATCTTTTGCAGACGAGTACCAACGCCGGACCGCCTTCCGAGCTCCAACGCCGGAATGTATCCGAGCTCGAACGCCGGACTATGTCCAAGCTCCAACGCTGGACTGTATCCGAGCTCCAACGCCGGACTATATCCGAGGTGTCATAAATCACCTTGGTTCAAAAAAGTTGAAGGAGTTTAGCCGAGCTTAATGCCGGAAATGCCCTCTCTGGAGCCAGCCATTAGCGCCCGAGCTTTATGCCAGAATGCTTCCGAGGTGGTGCACCACCCCGACTGTGGGCCGATTTTTTGTCAATATTTTTGATTGGTGCAATTTATTCTCTACCGAGATATATAGCCAGTAGCCCTCAAGGTGTGTATCGGTCTAAAACCCGAGATGCACCTGAAGGATGACATAAGACCGCTGATCCCAGTAGCCGCTGAGACTCAGGTTGATTTGCAAAATCGGTCTGAGGATCAACTCCTAGCTCGGCAGAATACTTCGGGACGCAAAAGCGGCGTGCTCAGTCTTTGAGACTCGGGTTGGGTGCGGCCGACCAACCTGAGGATCATAATGTCCTCGGAGACTGTATTGCACTTAAAATTTGCTGCATTGGATAGGCAATGCAGTAGCCCCCGAGACACTGGTCAGGTGGCAACACCAGATCAGGGGATCGATGTGCCCCTTTAATATTTGTAAATAATAAGCCTGAAGCCCAGTAGCCTCCGGGCCTTAATGCGGGCACGGGTGGCCAAATTAAGGATCGATAACCATAGTAAAATCACAAATTATGTGTAATGACTCTACGTATCCAAGTACTTTAAGTCATTAATGCTCGGATCCGCATTGTACAAAACTTTGTTGACCGACCATCGTCTTCCACCTCCTCGGCCAGTAGCCGAGGAGTGTTTGTCCTACTTTATAAAGCCTTTATGAGGGCAAAGATTTACGGCAAACACGGTAATCCGGCCATACGATTTTCTAAACAAAGGTATGCGGAGAGATATGTTATATTACTGTTTAACATAAGAAATGTCTTCCAAAGAAAATAGTCCCGCTATCGGTTCCTTTCTTTGGGTTGTCATGCTAAGAATGATCATGAAACCTTAGCTCTAATGTAAGAGCAAAATATTGAAGATTTAGTTTGGGAGGCCAGTTACTAACCCCCGTTAGTGTTCGGCGACAGTCGAGGTCAAGCCGTAAACACTTCAGCCAATGTTATGAATGGCCTGTCGTTTAACGCAGTCATAGGATTGCCGACCAGTTTACGCTTATTGTAACAGTCTGTTTTCGGCTTTCTCCACAGAGGTGCTTAACCATGTGAGCTGGAAGCACAATCGCAGTGGTTCTCCCTTTGCACACCTAGCCGAACAAAGCGGAACGTAGGAGGCAAGTGCAGGAGCCGGGCAACCCAACTATTGACCGAAGGCACAATTTGAAACCGATGCAAAGCAATATCCGAGAATGTTTTTGCCGAATCTCTAAAGGTGTCCGGCGTTGCACTGCGAGACTTGTGCTGAAAACACACAAATAGTTTGAAAGTGCAATAAGCTTGGAAAACCAAAAAAACATCAGTAAAAACTTGACGTCCGAACAAGATCAAGTGTTCGGTGTCAATCTGAAAATTGGAAAAAAAAATTGT